AAGAGCCATGGATATTAGAAGTAGAATTTCCACATCAAAGCTATCCTGGTGAGTTAGAACTAATATCTCCCATGTTACTAGTGAGACAGTTGGTACCTCTTGTCTTTTTAAACTATTTTTCTGGAATTTTCTTTTTAAATGCTCTGTTTTTCTCTAAATGGTTGAGGATACTTTATCAGCATGTGTAACAACCTAAATCACACCTCCAATTTTTGTTCTCTCCGTTTAAAATTCCTCTTCTGTGGGACCAGCAGTGAGCATAATGGCTATGTCGCTGGACTCCCATGTAGTCGACCATGGTTCGCGTCCCAGACTCGGTGGCTTAAAACTCACGCTGGGCGCGTGTGCGTGCGTGCCCAAGATCCCAAGAGGAGAATGGAGGAGAAGGGATTGTGGCGTGGCCATCTCCCCTGGGGAGTGATTTCTTGCTTTCTGTCTCTCTCTGTCTGGCGAGCACACGTGCCCTATAGCAAAAACCTCTCAAAAAAAAAAAAAATCCCTCCTTTGTTCAATTTATATAGATACAGATACAGATAAAGATTTATTTCTCTTCTATACATAAAACCTAATATCTGTCTTATCTTGTCTGAGGCTTTATTTTGCCTTTTTTCTCTAGAATTCCCAGTTATTCCCTACCATTGGAGCATGGAACTGTAATCCTAAAGTGTTCATAAATCTGTTTTAGAAGGTTTTTTCCCAGCGACATTTTCCTCCTTTTATTAGCAACAAAATGCCTCATTTATTCTGGTACCAGATTTAACTTCCTATTCTCTCTTTAAACTCTGATCACAGATTATATATCATTATGCTGGTCATTAATTATTTTAGAGTTGATACTTTCTTCTGTCTGGTGCTGGTTCTTCACACTAAGTGCTGATGATCCTTCCTAAAATGTACTGTACCTTATTTAGAATGTCATAACACTAGAATAATCTAAACTGCTTCTTCATTATATATTTTTCATACATTTTCTGACTTGCATAATGATGTGTTGCTAGATTCAGGAACAATGCCTGGTGCATATTAGTTGTCACTAGACAATTGTCAAAAGAATGAATTTTGTCAAACAAGAAACTAACACTCTCTACTTTCTATTCCATGTCTTTTATAGTATCTCCTGCAAGAGCTCATGCACTCTTTTTTTTTTTTTTTTTGGAGAGGTTTTTGCTGTAGGGCGCATGTGCTCGCCAGACAGACAGAGAAAGAGAGATAGAAAGCGAGAAATCACCCCCCAGAGTGGATGGCCACAACGCAATCCCTTCTCTTCCATTCTCCTCTCGGGATCTTGGGCACGCACGCACATGCACCCGGCGTGAGTTTAAACCACCAGGTCCAGGACTCGAACCGTGGTCGACTACGTGGGAGTCCAGCAACATAGCCATTACGCTAACTGCTGATCCCAAAAGCTCATGTACTCTTAAGACCAAAGCTTTGGGTTTTATGCTAAAAGTCCTAAAATTGATCTCCCTAGCATCTTTGTCCCATTTGTATTTGATCTCATAATTAGCCCATTATACAAGGTAGTTCAACTGACTTTCTCCCTTCCTTCTTAGGGTCAAAAACAGTTATTAGTTTAAATTCTCATAATAATTGTATAATGCAGCAAACTTATATTGCACTAGCCTATCATGCTTACACTGACTCACTATTACAGTATACATTTAGCTTTTACTTTTTGTCAAGAACTAGTCCAGCATTCAGTTGCCCAATATAACTTATTTCTCCTTATGGCTCCAAAACACATGTTAATCTCCATTTCCTTGATTCTCTTAAATATTTTTCATACAGAGGGTCTTATTTCATGTGGATCCAAGTTAACTTTGCACAAGTGCCTATCAAATAACTTCTGGTATATATTTCATTTGCCATGAAATTTCATCCCTAAGTCTCTGTAATCTTCACTTCACTTGCTTTCATGCATTTAAAGATGAATAAATATGAAAGGTTCTAGAAAGATGTTGAGTAATCTAATCTTTAAAGATCATATGGTAAATTGGAAGTAGAAATATAGGATCCAAGATATGAAAGTAGAATTCAAGACTAGCGTTGAGTCATGGATAACAAACATTGCTTTGGAAATGTAGGACTTGGTGGTCAGGCTAAGTTTAGCATTGAAAATATCTGCTGTTGGGACCAGCAGGTGGCGTGGTGATTGAGGTGCTGGACACTCCCACATAGCTGACCACAGTTTGAGTCCTGGACCTGGTAGCTTATTTTCTCACTTTCCCTCCCTCTCTTTCTCACTCTCTGTGTCTTTCTGTGGTCATATTAAAATAAATGAATGGGTAAATAAATAAATAGTTCCTTTAAAAAAAAAAAGCTATAAAAAATTTTTTTTAAAAAATCTGGTGTTACAACCGGGAGTCCATCCTCTTGTGTAGATGGCTTGCCCTCTACTTTTTTTTAAATCCTTCTTTGTTCCTGGGTCTTTCTGTCCCAGTGAAAATTAAGCTAATTAGATGGAGACTGGAAACCCATGCTATAGAACTATTCCTCTAAACATGAGGAAATTAATGTTTTAAGAAAAGTTGCTTTACTGTTGACATTTGGATTGTGGTGAATGAATAAAAAATAAATAAAGTAAGTTTATAGTTTATTAACTCCAGGAATCCTAATACCGTAATCAGATTTGAGGAATGATAATGACTTATACTTTAGCTCTTTCATCTAATTTAATCTTTTCTGTGATAGTTTCAATAAACACAGTTTTCCTCTAATTTTTCCCACCCTAATTACTGTTTATTATACTTACTGGGCTCAGCATTTTCTGATTCTCACATTCCTGGTCAGCAACACTTTGAATAGCTTTTGTTCTCTGCTCCCTGTTCTTTTGTTGCTGTTGTTTTTCCCCCAAGTTTTTAAGGTTGTAAAAGTGTCAGAAGTACTTGAGTTTATAAACAGGTTCATTCTGTTGTCTGCTGCAGCAGTTTTTAGTGTTTGTTAGGTTATTTCCAAAATAATGAAATAGAGGAAATTTTTCATTTGACAGTTCTTTGATTCTGGGAGATTGATCTGAGGCTAAGAATCAATCCTATGACCATAATAATGTGTTAAGATGTATATGGTACTAAATTTTGGATTCCTTTGTAGAAAACCTATGGAAAATTCATGACTTAAAAGCAAGATACGAGAAAAGCCAAGTTGGAAGTTCAAGGCAAGTTTAAGAATTAATGTTTAAGATTGAAGCTTTGTAAAGAAAGGGTCTTCGTGGAAGTTCTAGAAATGGGAGAGCACTAGTTAATACTAAATGGGAAAAAAAAAATCACTGTAGCAAATTTCAAAGAATGTAATCCAAAAAGGGATGCCCTTTTTCATAGTAAAGACCTTATTCAGGATCAAAAGATTCAAACTTTGGAATAGTCTTTTTTTGACTCTCTTGAATTACACAAGAAGGGAGACTTAATTATACAGATAGAGTTCAGGCAGTTGAGAGACCATGTGAATATAATGCAAGTAATTCAGTTAATCAAATGTTAAATCACAATGTATGTCATAGAAATTTACAATGTAGAAACCTTATGACTCTAATGAATATATTATAGAAATACCTCTAGCAATCATTCTTCAAATTTAATAGGAAAATATAGCAGAAATAAAAACCTTAAAAGTGCTATCTATATATTAATGAATTTGGAACTTTCTGTCTAGGAATGGAGAACTCAGAAAACACCAGAAAACTCCTACCAGTGAAAAAACCTATGAGTGTAATAAATGTGGAAAGTCCTTCTGCCAGAAGTCTGCCCTCATAGTACATCATCATACTCATTCAAAGGACAAATCCTATGAATGTGATAAATGTGGGAAATATTTCACAAAAAATGAAGACCTCACAATACATCAGAAAATTCACACAAGAGAGAAAACCTATGAGTGTAAAGAATGTAAGAAAATTTTCTACCACCTTTCATCTCTCAGTAGACATCTGAGAACCCATGCAGGGGAAAAACCCTATGAATGTAATCAATGTGAGAAATCTTTCTACCAGAAGCCACACCTTGTAGAGCATCAGAAAACACACACAGGAGAGAAACCCTTTGAGTGTACTGAATGTGGGAAGTTCTTCTATGTGAAGGCATACCTCATGGTACATCAGAAAACACACACAGGGGAGAAGCCCTATGAGTGTAAGGAATGTGGGAAAGCCTTTTCCCAGAAGTCACACCTTACAGTACATCAAAGAACACACACAGGGGAGAAACCCTATAAGTGTAAGGAATGTGGGAAATTCTTCTCTAGGAATTCACACCTCAAAACCCATCAGAGAACTCACACAGGAGAGAAGCCCTATGAATGTAAGGAATGTAGGAAATGCTTCTACCAGAAGTCAGCCCTCACAGTCCATCAACGAACTCACACAGGGGAGAAACCTTTTGAATGTAATAAATGTGGGAAACACTTTTATTATAAGTCAGATCTTACTAAACATCAGAGAAAACATACAGGGGAGAAGCCCTATGAATGTACAGAATGTGGAAAATCTTTTTCTGTGAATTCAGTCCTCCGATTACACCAAAGGACTCACACAGGAGAGAAACCCTATGAATGCAAGGAATGTGGGAAATCCTTTTCTCAGAAGTCACATTTTATCATACATCAGAGAAAACACACAGGAGAGAAGCCTTATGAGTGTCAAGAGTGTGGGGATACCTTTATCCAGAAGTCACAACTCACAGCACATCAAAAGACACATGCAAAGAGGGGGAAAGCAGCAAATAGTATGAGTTGAAAAAGTCTTCTGTCTGAACTCATCCTTCAGACTAATCAGATAATTCACACAAAATAGCAGCTTATGAATATCATCAGTATGGGAGAATTTCCAGCTATAGCCTTTCCTCACAGCATATACACAGAAATTCCAAAAATTTAAGGGGGAGAAATTTTTACCCTTATGGTAGACCTTTCTAAATATCAGACAATACAGATGACAGAAACCGTACAAATTGTAAAACATGAGGGAAAGCCTTTTTTCAGAAGTCATACTTTGTTTTACAATATTAAAAATCCACACAGGTGGACCAGCACCATAGCTCAGTGGTTAAGGGAGCCAGATCCCACATAACTAACCTCAGTTTGCATTCCCAGCTGGCTTGAAAAACATGGCAGGCATGTGTATATGCATGCTCCAAATCCCAACAGGATGGAGAATTAGAGAAGGGATAATAGTTGGCCACGCCCCACTGGGGCAGGAGCTTTCTCCCTCTCTCTCTCTGAGTCTGTCTCTGTATGGCAAGCACACGCATCCTCTGGCAAATAAAAAGGATCACATAGGAGAATTTTATAAGGAAAGAAGGAAAGATCTTACATGTAAAGAATGTCAAGAAATTGTCAGGACAACCAGCATTAGATATCCTAACCTCATAGGTGTGTGAAACTCCTATGAGTATATTGAGTACTCAGAAATATTTTTATACCAGTCAAACTCATTTATTAGAAAATCCTAACAGGATAACTGCCAAGATTGTGATAGCTTTAAAAGTCTATGTCAGGAATCAATGTTTCATTGAACGTCAGCTCATTGACTCTTAGATAAGACCTTTATATATTTAAAATAATTTTAACAAAAATTCAAAGAATTCATACTTCAATAGTTACAATAGAAGTCATGTTGGAAATCTGGTTTCAAGATTTCTTTCTTAAAACCTGCAGAAGTCTACATATATGGAATTTTCTAGAAAGCACAAATAAATAGAATAATTAGGCAACATCATTAAACCCACATAAAGGGGCCTTTAGTGTGGGAATTAAGTGTGAGTATATACAGAATGTGTAGATGTTGACATGCACATGGATCCCATCCCTCATTGGACATAGGGCAGTATGAAAACTTAGTTCAGTAACTGTTAGGTATGTGAAGATGTCTCATGTTAAGTCTCAGTAATGACTGCTCTTTGTTAATACATGTATTGTAAATGTGCTGTTTCTTTTAAATTATAATGCATCTTTTTCTCCTATTTCCTGGCATTTGTAAGTGAATATAGATCTTGTCATTGAACTAACTCTTCAAAGAGAAGCAACATTGTTTTTCTAAAAATTATAACTATCTCATGGTCAGCCAAATTTTGCATTTACAAACACATTTGTTTATAGCAAAAGCCTGAGCTGCTTTTAAAGTAGACAAAAACAATAATATTCATTGCTTTCTAACAATAGAAATTAAAGTGCTATGTAAGAAATATTATCTTACTGTTGATGTTTTAGCAGGATGCAGAGCAATCTGCATTTGTATTTGTGTGACAGTCCTAAATGTTCTTTAGCACCTTTTTTTTCCCTAATAGAAGGAACATGGCTTGGTAGTTAAGAATGTAGGCTCTGGACTCCTACCACCTTGGCCTGGAGTCCACTATGAGACATGCCACTTACCTTCTCTGTACCTCAGTTCCTTTTCTATAAAGAGTAGTGTTAGTAAACATGTTACGATAGCTTTGAAGTCTAAATAAGTTAATGTTTTTAAAGCACTTAAAACAGTGTCTGAGACACAAAAAGAGCTAGCTTTATGTTAGATATCATTATCATTTGCATTTTTACTTAATTATCCTGCAAAGGGGAAAAAGGGTTGGCTACCCAGCATTCATCTCCCACCTTTTGCTGCTAGTGCCTTGATTGGTTTCATTGTTCACTTTCCCACAAATGATTCAGGAGCAGATCCTGACTAAGCTAAACCAGTGGTGGGCAAACTACAGCCCACTAACTCATTTTTGTAACCTGCAAATTGAGAATAGTTTTATATTTCTAAAAGGTTGAAAAAGAATTAAGGAATATTTTGTGACACATTAATATTAAAATATTTAAGTCTCAATGTCCATAAATAGAATGTCTGGAGAATGAAAAATCAAAACCATTTGTTTATGTTATCCAAAAAAAAAAAAAAGGGAACCAGCAGTTAGCATAATGGCTATGTCGCTGGACTCCCACGTAGTCGACCGCAGTTCGCGTCCAGGACCCGGTGGCTTAAAACTCATGCCAGGTGCGTGTACATGCGTGCCCAAGATCCTGAGACAAGAATGGAAGAGAAGGGATTGCGGCGTGACCATCCCCCCGGGGGGTGATTTCTCACTTTCTGTCTCTATGTCTCTCTCTGTCTATCTGGCAAGCGCACGCGCCCTATAGTGAAAACCTCTCCCCCCCCCAAAAAAAAAATAAAAAAACATTTGCTTATGTTTTGCCCATGCCCGTCTTCACACTCTGGCAGAGTTCAGTAGTTGAGAACATACAGTCCACAGAGCCTAAGATATCTACTGTCTGACACTTTACAAAATCAGTTTTTCTGTTACTTACTGTGTTTTTATAAATGTTATGTGTTTCAGAAATGATGTACACAGCAATTTGTGGATGGGTGGTTTCTGTGCAGTATATTTATTTTGTGCATTATATTTATGTGTTAAAATCTTAAGCTTAGAAGTATTTTTTTTTCAAAAAAAGTGTTTTTTACTTGCTGAATTGTCATAACATCAAAACAAGAAACTTCTTAATAGAATGTAGAAGTAAATATATGAAATAAATATTATCTGAATTAAATTGAATTGTTAATTGGTTTCTCCTCATAGTATTCCTTATTTTCTCCCAAGTCAATAGCTAGTTTTCCCTATATCATTTTATAATGTTTTTACTATTCCATCATAAGGAGGTATCCTTATTTCCTAATCATTTATCTACCTATTTTTACATTTTACCACAAACATTTATGAATCAAAAAAATATTTGCTCATACTCCATAGTTCTTTAAAGTTAATAAACAACTTTCAAAATTTCAAAAAAACGAATTTTAAAGATAATGTCCAAAATATCTGTTATAATTTTGCTTGTGATTCTGTAACAGAGACAGTACGGTTTTAATTATTTTTGAGAAAATATTTACATGTCAACTATTAAAACTGTTGCTAAGCAAACACCCGGCACACAATTTACACATAAACCTTCTCAATTCAGCCCTGCCTACCAAGTATTCTATGATAAATCACCTGCTAGCAAAGATCAGTCTCTTTTTCTTCCTTCAAAGTCTTCCTCAAAATAATCCTCTGGTTGGGAACCAGCAGTTAGTGTAATGGCTATGTCGCTGGACTCCCACGTAGTCGACTGCGGTTCGCGTCCCGGATCCAGTGGCTTAAAACTCATGCCGGGCACGTGTGCGTGCATGCCCAAGATCCCAAGAGGAGAATGGAGGAGAGGGGATTGCGGCGTGACCATCCCCGCTGGGGGGTGATTTCTCGCTTTCTGTCTCTACGTCTCTCTCTGTCTGGCGAGCACATGCGCCCTATAGCGAAAATCTCTCCAAAAAAATAAATAAATAAAATAATCCTCTGGTTGTGGCTGCTCTTTTGCAATCTCTACTGATTACAATGCTGGGCTGGAAAAGTCCAGGTTATTTTATAGTACTAATTCTTTCATGTAGCTTCACTAATCTTCTCTGCCAGGCAGAATGGTTTATGTTGCCAGGCTATCTTTCCAAGAGCTTCTGTTGGCTTACTTGAAATCTACCTTTGTTCCATAGTTTTCCAGTTTAATCTTCATATATGACATTCCAGTCAAAGCCCTGTCTAATAGCAAGTATTTCCAATTTCTGATTCAAGGCAACGGATGTTACTGAACTTATGCAAATAACCCTTCTGCCACAAAATAAGAATACTTCCAAATATTTTCCAATTCCAGAAGGGCCAGGAAGGGAGAAAAGTTTATGTTTCCATTTTAAGGAAACAAACAAAAAGAAAGAACATTTTAACATTGCTAAACCTTATCAACAACTCAAAAGAAAGTAAAATCCTTAATTTGGGAAAACAAAGTATAGTAAAGAAAAAAACAGTAATGTTTTACTCAAAAGTCAGAAAATTCTATTTCACCAATTCAGTCTTATGTAATTAATCTTTCTTCTGTTTAATTTGCAGTGTTACTGTGGTCTGATCTTTCCATTTAAATCTTGGAAGGTAACATGCAGTGTTATTATTGATATTTCCTGTCCCTAGCATTTAGTTGGTCGTTTTCTTAGTTGGTTTTTGTTCTCTTATTTCTGAACATGTGTCTTTAGTTTTCCTGGTAAAACACTTCTTTCAGAATTTTTAGAACTGCTGTTGTGTTGGTAAATTCTTTCAGGTTTTCTTTATCTGAGAATGTTTTTATCTTTTGTTCCCATATGAAGGATAATCTTGCCAGCTATAGTATTATTGGCTGAAACAGTTTTTCACTTAACATTGAATATATTCCCCATTCTTTTCTTGCTCACATTGTTTCTGATGAGAGGTCTGATGCTAGCCAGATGGGATAACCTTTATAAGTAACCTGATGTTTCTCTCTTGCCAATTTAGTCTCTTGTCTTTGTCTGTGGTTTTGGTCAATCTGGATATGATGTGCCTTGGGGAAGATCTTGGGTTGATTCTATTAGGGGTCCTTTGTATTTCTGGAGTCTGGATATTTGAATGCCTCTCTAGGCTTGGAAAGTTTTTTTCCCAGGATTCCATGGAATAGATTATCAATGTCCTTACTAGTTTCTTCAACTGCTAGGATACCAGTTATCTAGATGTGTGGGTGCTTAATGGTATCTAACATTTCTTGATAGTATTGTCATTTTTGGGGGGTGGTATCCTCAGGTTTTTTTTTTTTTTGGTTGTTTTTTTCTAGATCAGAGGTTTTGCCTTCAACATTCGAGATTTGATTTTGTGCATGGACTAATCTGCTTTTAATACTTTTGAGGAAGGTTTTGATTTCCTGAATGGCATTCTTCATCTCTAATAGCTCCATTTTATTCTTTTTTATGGTGTGTATTTCCTCTTTCAGGTCATGGAAGAACTTAGACACCTCCTGGAACTCATTGTCTCTTTTCTCCTGCATCTCCTGAAGTGCATTGTCTCTCAGCTCTTGCATCTCATTTAGTTTTGTCACTGTGAATATTGTGAATTCTCTATCAGACATTTCCACGAGTTTCACTGTACTGTCTATGGATGATGAAGGATTGTTCTTTTCACTTAGAGGAAAGATATTTTCTTGATTTCTCATATTTCTTGTGCCTCTGTGGTGGTTTCTGGTCATTCCATGAAAAAAATCTCTCCTCTACTTGTCTGAGTGTTTTGGGGGTATGGCATAAGATATCATCTTCATGTCAT